ACTCAGGACAACTTTTTTTGCCGTTTTGCGTCATACCGTATGCCAACTTCCCAGACATGTCGTCTCCTCCACATTTAATGCATACCGGCCTTCCATGGTAGTAAGCCTTTGTGTGGCCATATTGTTGGCAGTTGGCACATTAAGGTATTTAGCGTGTTGATCGCGGTGTTTCGAAATCACATTAAATCATCAACTTTATGTTTTTTCGGCGTAATTTTGCAGACCCTTCTTTTTCCTTTTTAGGAACTCTAGAACTATTGAGAAGCTACTCAGATCAGACTTTAATTTTATTTTATTTTTTTCAAAAATATAACTTTCGGCTTCTTAGCAAAAAATGGTTTTTCGGTGTAATTTTGCAGAATTTTCTTTTCCCTTCACAGGAACTCCAGAACTATTGAAGGGCTACTCATAACAGTTTTAATTTTAATTTAATTTTTTTTTTCAAAAAATAAACTTTTCTGTTTTTTTTTCAAAAAATGTTTTTTCGGTGTAATTTCCAGAACCTCCTTTTTTCCTTCTCAGGAGCTCTAGAATTGTTGAAGAGCTGCTCAGAACTGTTTTAATTTTATTTTTTAAAAATTTGACTTCGACTTTTTCGAAAAAAAATTTTTTAAGGAACTCTAGAACAATCGAAAAGCTACGCAGAACAATTTTTTATTTGCGTTTTTGCCACATGTCGTATGCTACGTGCATCTGGCATAGACTATTTTTGAAGCAATTTTTCTTTGTCAAAATATCCAGAACTTTTTTTTTCTTTTCAAGAACTCTAGAACTATTGCAAGGCTACTCAGAACAACTTTTTGTCGTTTTGCGTCATACCGTATGCCAACTTCCCAGACATGTCGTCTCCTCCGCATTTAATGCATGCAGGCCTTCTATGGTAGTAAGCCTTTGTGTGGCCATATTGTTGGCAGTTGGCACATTAAGGTATTTAGCGTGTTGATCACGGTGTTTCGAAATCACATTAAATCATCAACTTTATGTTTTTTCGGCGTAATTTTGCAGACCCTTCTTTTTCCTTTTTAGGAACTCTAGAACTATTGAGAAGCTACTCAGATCAGACTTTAATTTTATTTTATTTTTTTCAAAAATATAACTTTCGGCTTCTTAGCAAAAAATGGTTTTTCGGTGTAATTTTGCAGAATTTTCTTTTCCCTTCACAGGAACTCCAGAACTATTGAAGGGGTACTCATAACAGTTTTAATTTTTATTTTATTTTTTTTTTCAAAAAATAAACTTTTCTGATTTTTTTTTAAAAAAATGTTTTTTCGGTGTAATTTCCAGAACCTCCTTTTTTCCTTCTCAGGAGCTCTAGAATTGTTGAAGAGCTGCTCAGAACTGTTTTAATTTTATTTTTAAAAAATTTCACTTCGACTTTTTCGAAAAAAAATTTTTTCAGGAACTCTAGAACAATCGAAAAGCTACTCAGAACAATTTTTTATTTGCGTTTTTGCCACATGTCGTATGCTACGTGCATCTGGCATAGACTATTTTTGAAGCAATTTTTTTTTGTCAAAACATCCAAATTTTTTTTTTTCTTTTCAAGAACTCTAGAACTATTGGAAGGCTACTCAGAACAACTTTTTGTCGTTTTTCGTCATACCGTATGCCAACTTCCCAGACATGTCGTCTCCTCCGCATTTAATGCATGCAGCCCTTCTATGGTAGTAAGCCTTTGTGTGGCCACTCTTCCGATCCTAATTTTTTATACTGCACGGGTACGAAAGTGGAGACATTCTTCTGAATCTGTAGAAAAAACTATTGGGGTATAATCGTGGTGCTGGGTATGCAGATACAGTTTCACGGCTATACTCAATCCCGACTCTTGAGTCCTCGTTCGCGCACTCTGGGCAACGTGAGAAACCCATGTTCGAGATGCTGTAACCAATCCGAGTGGAGCCTTGGGCCACGGCGGAAAGAAAGCGAGCTTCGGTGGGGCCACTCCGACTTATTCGGTTTAAGGGCTGACTGAAGTCTGCAGCGTCTGTTCACCAGTAGGTGCGGCTGCAAGCGGGTGTCAGTCTTGGAGAAAGCGGCTCGCTATATATACGTATATTTGGTGGCGAAACCATCCCCGTCCCAGCAATGGGTTTTTACGCTAGGTTTGGGACTCGCCACGCAAAAACCACTTCCAGTGAAGAAAAAAAATAAAGCCTAAGTGAGACCCCCTTTATGATGACGACCTCGTTTTAAGAACTAAGATGTGAGGGCATGCACATGGAATGTCCGGACCCTTAATGGGGAAGGTGCCTCTGCCCGGCTGGTTGATNAGCTGCTTGATCTCCTCGTAAGGAAAAAAGCTGACATCACCGCCATCCAAGAAATACGTTGGACGGGGCAAGGCAAACAATGCCTGGGGCCTTGCGACGTCTACTACCGCTGCTATGTAAAGGAGCGCAAATTCGGTGTTGGATTTGTGGTGGGAGAGAGACTCCGTCTCCAAGTACTGTCGTTTACCCCGGTGGACGAGCGTCTAGCCACAATCCGCATCAAAGCGAGATTCTGCGCCCATGCCCCGACGGAAGCCAAGGCAGAGGTATTCAAGGATATCTTCTACGAGCGCTTGGAGCGCACGCCCATCGATCATTTTGTGGTAGAAGGAAGGCATGCTTCCAGTGTTTTAGACGTACGTAAACTCCGAGGCCCACACACCGACTCGGACCACTATCTTTTGCACCTGCCTCTGTGCAGCAAATAATATGCGTCCAAATATGCAAGGAAAGCTTAACGTCGCAAAGCTGCAATCATAAAAGACAGCCAATGCTCTTCAACAAACCGACATATGCGAGCAGTGGAACCACATCTCCCACTCATTAAGTACCGCCACCAAAGAAATAGTCGGATTTCAGCGAGCCCAAAAGAACAACTGGTACGATGAAGAGTGTCGGGAAGCTGCAGAAAAAAAGATGCCACCTACAGGGCCACGCTGCGATAAAGCGCAACGCGCGCTATGTGGTACCGTTATAGGGAACTGAAGAGGAAAGCGAGACGTATTTGCCGCAATAAGAAGAGAGGTATATGGCGTAGAAGCATGGGCAATGACAACAACCGGTGAGGCGGCTCTTGGAGTATTTGATAAAAATATTTTGCGGAAGATTTACGGGCCTTTACGCGTTGGCGACGGTGAGTACCGCAGACGATGGAACAATGAGCTGTATGAGCTTTACAACGACATGAACATGGGTAAGCGAATTAAAATACTGTGGCTCCGCTGGCTTGGCCATGTCGTTCGAATAGACACCGGCGCTCCAGCTCTGAAAGGATGCAACTCCAAACCCGATGGTGGTAGCAGAGGAAGAGGGAGGCCCCCACTGAGATGGAAAGACCAAGTGGAGAAGGACTGGGCTTCACTTGGCATTTCCAATTGGCGTCATTTCAAAGCTCTCAATAATTTCAAATCTGTCTGAAAGCACTGTGAAAGATAAAATATCGAGGACTTGTATTCAACACCCTCTATCTTCAACTTTCACAAAAACTACCTTGTGATGATAGAACCCATCTGGGACTTACCTGTCATCATTGATATTAATTATGACTTTGCAATTTAATAGTAAACTCTTTTGTCAAGCGTTATACAAGGTCAGCATGAATATCACCAATGACAGTTAAGTTCTAGGTCGATTTTTGTATCAGAATGGCATTTTTGTGAAAAATGCAGATAGAGGGTATTGAATATAAGTCCTCGATATGTTTTTCTGTAAAAGAATTTATCAACTACAATAATCATGGATTTAACCCTGTTGGATATGGGGGTGAAATAACGCAAACGGCAATAACGCAAATTTGTGTTATTTCCCAATTCAATGTCAAATAACACAAATTTGCTTTATTTCATTTCTCGTTAAGCAATAAGACCAACTTTTAAGATTAGCAATTGAGTAATAAAGTAAAATAGTGCACTTACTTATGTAGGTAGTCACCCAGTTACATTTGACAAAAAGTAGTACATGAGCAAGTTAAATGGGCGGATTTGTAAGTATACAATTTTGAAAGTGCCCATCGTCGCGGCGGTCTGCGTTCGCGCGACGCCCTGCCCTAGGGAAAGCAACATCGCAAAAAAATATAGCAAAAAGCTTTTTTTTCTTAACAGCGGTCGCCCCTCGGCAGGCAATGGCAAACCTCCGAGTGTATTTCTGCCATGAAAAACAGCTTCTCATAAAAATAAAACCGCCGTTCGGAGTCGGCGTAAAACTGTAGGTCCCTCCCCTTTGTGTGACAACATCAAGGCGCTCGCCACAAATCGGAGGAGCAGTTTGGCCAAACATTAACATATGTGTAAGCGTCAATCTATTATTATTAATTGGAAATATTAGTGAAGCAAGTGATGATAATGCAGAAATTTCAACTGAAGATAAAACTGAAAACAATATTCTTTGTTATATGTACATATGCTGCGAACAGGAACGGCAACTTACATATGTTTGTTCCATGCAAACATTTTAAGGTTTTCCAGCAATGTTTTTAACATATTAAAGAGCATGCAGATAAAATTCATACAAAAAATTCCATCCTTTGTTGGAAATAAAGCAAAACTCAGATTTTGGTATTATTTCCCATTTACAGGTCTATTCTGCGCTGGTAATAAAAAGTTTGTAACCGGTAAATAAAGTTCCTGTAAATTTTTACACCCTTTTCGCATTCTGTGTACTCTTGTAACCGGTAAACTTTGTTACCATCTCATAACCTGGTAACAAAGTATTGCCCCGTGAAATATGCAATACCAAAATTTGCACAATTCTTCATAGCTGAATTGCTGAATGTTTTAACTGCATTACCAACGTACCTAGAATCGCGGTGACAGGAGCTGGTAACATTTTTTGGTAATAAAATTTTCCGGTTAAAAAATTTTCGGTAACGTGCAGAATAGACCTGTTAAAAGTGAAATAAAACAAATTTTGCGTTATTGCCGTTTGTGTTATTTCACCTACCGCCCGACCCCGACTTTAATTATCCTCGCTTTATTTACTCTTACTGACTTATTACTATAATTTCTCTTGCAGGCCCTTGGACCGAGAGCGTCAGTATGTATACAATTTCATGGTGGTCGCAACTGATGGAGGTCGTTACAGTACACGTTCTGCAAGTGTGCCCGTGCAAATAGTCGTCGATGACGTGAATGACAACCGGCCCATCTTCGAGCGTTACCCTTTCAGAGCACAAGTACCTGCACTCGTTCAGCCTGGCCAAATGCTCCTACAAGTCGGTGCTACCGACGTCGATACCGGCATGAACGCTGAAGTTCTTTATTCACTGGGCAACAATGCTGACGCAGCGACACGCAATAAATTCCGAATTAACCCCAACACTGGCGTGGTGAGCGCTACACAGAGCCTGGCTAGTGAATCAGGTCGGCTGCTGCACATTGAGGTGGTGGCACGGGACAAAGGCAATCCGCCGCGCGTTACCCTCGGCCTCATAGAATTGCGCGTAGGTGAAAAGGCAGTCGGCACACCGGTGCTACGTTTCCAAAACGACACTTATCGACTAAAGTTGCGTGAAAATATGGCAGTGGGCATGAGTGTGCTGCAGGTTTCAGCAGTGCGGACCGATGGCCGACGGCAGCAGATCCACTATTCCATTGGCACTGGGAATGAGGATGGTGTGTTCACAATAAACTCTACCACTGGTGAGATAAAAGTCGGTAATGCAGCCCACTTGGACTATGAACGCTATATAGGTATCGCATTGGAAGCTACGAGAGTAAGTGGCAGCTATACATATCGTGGGCGTGCCATGTTATATGAAGGTGAAGAAGAGTTGGGTGCCACCGGTGTAACCAGTTCCGTAGAGGAACTGTCTGATAATCAGCGATCACCTCGTAACCAGCGCGAATTACAGACGTCTGCCGCCAAAGAAAATAAACAATTTTCTTCCTCCGCCACTCATCCGCATGAATTGCGTTTGGTTCTCGTCGCGCGCACCAGTGCCACACCCGTGCTCTACGGCTATGCAGAGTTGATCATCGAGTTGGAAGATGATAATGACAATAGTCCACACTTCACGCAATCACAATACTCTACAACGGTATGGGAGGGCAACAATAAGGGCACATTCGTGGTGCAGGTGCAGGCATTCGATGCGGATGAGGGCGCGAATGCACGCATTCTCTATCATATTGTCGATGGCAATCACGATAATGCATTCATCATAGAGCCCGCATTCAGCGGCATAGTGAAGACGAACATTGTGTTGGATCGCGAGATCCGTGACATGTATAAGCTAAAGGTGATCGCAACTGATGAGGGAGTGCCACAAATGACGGGAACGGCGCTGATACGTGTACACATAGTGGATGTGAACGACAATCAGCCGACCTTTCCTCCGCACAGTGTGATTAGTGTTAGTGAAGGTAAGTACACCGCAAACATATATACATACATACCTAACTATGCATTTACTATCAGTAAACTAGTTTTAAAGACAATATAGATTTGCACCGATGGACTGTCCTTTTGTGTTTTTTTTTTTTGCAATTCGATCGTAATTCTTGATCGCCCAAATGGGCGGTGTTATAAGCGCGTGGTGTTAGATTGTCGCAAGGTTATGCAATTTTAATTTGATGCTCGGTGACTGGAGACAAACCAGTCCCACAGTGGGAGATCATATTAGTAAATCCGCAGGTATTAGTGAATCCCCTTGTTTTAATACTGATAGACAGATCGTATGTAGGATAAGTAAAAAAATATGTGAAAACTTAATAGCTCTCATTAATTAATTTATTAAACAATATTCTGATATTGACAGATAACAAGAAATTGTATCATTTATATGGACACAAAAATAACCGCAATTTTAAAAAACTTTGAACAATCTTTATAAGTAAGTTGGGTACGAGCTTTAATAAAACTCCATCGTGCCCAATAGTGTCAAAGACTTTTTCAACGACGAAAAGAAATAGAGCGTTGACTTTTTGTTATTAAAACTTGAATTAGCGTGGTTAAAAATTCTCTTTGGTTTGTGTGTGGTACCGTGAAGTTTCCTAAATCCAAACTTCCAAATTCATCAGGCAGCATATTATCAACTTGTATATTAGGACTTTTCGTTTGGGGATTTTCCAGGCTTTGATATTGGAGTCACTTTTGCACTATCCGAATACATAGAAAGTTTTGGAGTTTGAGACATGAATTAATAACAAAGGTATGGAAAATAACTGGCGGCCGCTGTGGTATAGTGGTTAGCAGTGTGCGCTACCAATCCGCAAGCCCGATTCAACCCAACATCAAAACATAAAAAACCAATAAAAAATTGGTTTATTTTCTAATAGCGGTCGCCCCTCGACAGGGAATGGCAAACCTCCGAGTGTATTTCTGCCATGAAAAAACAGCTTCTCATAAAAATACAATCGCCGTTCGGAATCGCCGAAAACTGTAGGTCCCTCCTCTTTGTGTCACAACATCAAGGCGGACGCAACAAATCGGAGGAGATGCTCGGCTAAAACTAACATATGCGTAAGCGCCAATAGGGACGCGAATTTCGCGCATTAGCGAATTGCGCGCTGTAGGCCAATTTTATTGAATTTTATTATTTCAGTTAGAGGTTAAAAACATTAAGTCGCAATGTGAAATTTTCATTATTCGTATTACAAATACCAATTTTAAACGCCGCAATCAATATTTTTAACAGGAATGAATTAATTTACTGTATTTTGTTTTGTGGTTGTATCTACTATTTTTCACACTTTCCTTCTTCTTTGCTTTTTATTTCGATTATCAAAATCTTCGTCATAATTATTTCTAACTCTCGCTTGAGAGTGTAATTTTGTTATTTGACAGTTCTAAAGGTTTTACTCTGAAAATCGCTGGAACCAAGGCACATAAATACAGGTAGAAGCCAAAATGACGTTGCTCTCATGAGAACCAAACTTTTAAACTTCAACTTGATTTTATTTTATTTCCTATATTTCGTTACGCTTTGAATGTCATATCGTTGTTTTTTTTTTTTTAATGTTCGTTAATAACAAATTTTAATTTGCATTTGAATTTTTGTGGTGTTGTGCGGTTTATACTTAGTGTATGTGTTAAAAATGCAACACCTGAAGCGCTGTTTTTTATGTGGTGTTAAATATAAGGCAGATACCACTAATTTTTTAACGTGCCTCAATGTCCTTCGCGTAAGGAACGTTGCAGCTGTGGGCAGAGCTGCAGTGAAATGCCTTGCAGTGCGTTAAACATTTTAAAGAAGTAGATTCCACAAATACACCGGGAGGTACAGGAAAGGCACGTTTGAAGCCAAGTGCTGTTCCTATGACCCTTATGCCGAAAAGTCCCTCCAACAACACTGCAACTCATAAAACAAAAACAGAAAACAACATACACGTTTTATCAAATTTTAACTAAAGAAAATAAATAAATAAGAATAAACTTCAAATATACTTAAAAACGTCAACCAGTGAAATGTATTTTTTTATTTTTCCTTACACACGCTCATTTTTATTTTTACTCTCCCGAAAACTTTGACTTTTGTAGGTTTGACGTCAAATTGGCTTCTACCTGTTTTATTGTACCATGCGCTGGAACAACTATTTTCAGGAATTCTTTCATTTTTGTGTTTTCGATAATAGCAATTTACCACTTTGTTTGATATTTTAATAAAATATGGTTAATTGTGGAAGAAAGTATTGGATATTTGTTAGTGGATAATGTCTACAGCTGGTGGCGTAAATGCTAGCAATAACCATGTAACATGATTCATACGATGATTTTGAAAATCAAAATAAAAAGAACAGAAGAAGGAAAGTTTGATGAAAAAGTAGGTAAAAGAATAAAACAAAATATAATGTACCAATTAATTTATGTTTAAAATATTAATTGCGGTGTTTGAAATTACGTTACATTACGACTGAGTTTTTTAATGAAAACCTCTAATTTGAGTATTTGTTTGAAAAAAAAAATCATAAAAATTCATTTAGACAGGGCTACAGCGGCATCTAGCGCAAACCTTATAATAAACGAACTTCAAGAACAGGTCCTCGTATCAAAAAACCCTTATATGAGTATTTTGTAAAACATCTAAAACTATCACTTGCATTTGGTTTTACTCAATACCGAGCCAACAAGTTTGATTTTGTCGCACAGTGTTATAGAAGAACGAAATCTCATACCCCGCCATCAATTTGGATTTAGAAAAAGCCACAGCACTATCAAACAATTACACAGACTTGCTCGGAAAATATACTCAGCATTTGAGAAAAACCAATACTGCACAGCTGCCTTTCTAAATATCTCACAAGCGTTTGATCGAGTTTGGTACCTAGGCTTACTCTATAAAATAAAACCACACTCCCTATCAACTACTATGTATTTCTGCAGTCATACCTGAAGAATCGTATTTTTTTAACAGGGTACGGAACTTTATGAAAGCACGGCAGGTGTACACTAGAGTGGCCTTAGTGAACCGATTTTCGGAAACTAAATATTTTCGCATGGAAAAATATGAGGTTGGGTCCAGAAATAAATATTAATATATTTTAAAAGCCTTCAGGGGACTCTTAAGGGTTCCGGGGTGGACCGAAAAGTGCCGAAATTGAACCAATTTCTTGAATTTTCGTATATTTAATTTTAAGATGGGAAAGTTTTATTGGGTGCCTTTTTATAGAAAGGAGTTCGCCTTGGTCTTGAAACCTTCCGTAAGTTGCCTAACCCACTGATAAAATTTTCGGCTATTTTTCCTGTCGGCCAGCATCTCAAGCTCCAACGCAGAATCACTCTTGCCAACAAGTGCTGCTTTGGACTGAGTAGGCAATTCAGGAGTAAAGTCCTCTCTCGACGTACGAAAACCACGCTCTATAACTCACTCATCATGCCCGTGCTGGTATATGGCGCAGAAGCATGGACAATGACAACATCCGATGAGGCGTCTCTTGGAGTGTTTGAGAGAAAGATTTTGCGGAAGATTTACGGGCCTTTACGCGTTGGCGACGGCGAGTACCGCAGACGATGGAACGATGAGCTGTATGAGCTTTACAACGACATGAACTTAGTGCAGCGAATTAAAATACAGCGTCTCCGCTGGCTTGGCCATGTCGTTCGAATGGACACCGACGCTCCAGCTCTGAAAGTATTCAACTCGGAACCCGCTAGTGGTAGCAGAGGAAGAGGGAGGTCCCTACTGCGATGGGAAGATCAGGTGGAGAAGGACTTGGCTTCACTTGGCGTTTCCAATTGGCGTCAGTTGGCACAAAGGAGAAACGACTGTCGTGCTTTGCTGAACTTGGCCAAAATCGTTTAGGCGGTTACAGCGCCAAAAAAGAAGAAGAAGAAGAAGCATCTCAAGATCTTCGCACTCACGTATTTCGGCCAGTCTTCTTATTGCTGCAAATACGTCTTGCTTCCTTCTTCAGTTCCCTATAACGGTCCCACATGGCTCGCGTTGCGCCCGATCGCAGCGTGTCCCTGAAGGCGGCATCTTTTTCTCTGCAGCTTTTCGACATTCCTCATCGTACCAGTTGTTCTTTCGGGCTTGGTGAAATCCGACTACCTATTTGGCGGCAGTAGTTAATGATCGGAAAATAAGGTTCCACTGCTCGCGTATGTCGATTTTTGTCGAGGTGTGGGAGTCGAGTGGCGAATAAATTGGCCGTCTGTTGTGATAGCAGCTTTTCGATGTTAAGCTTTCCTTTCATTGTTGTACACAAATTTTTTTCTGCACATTGGCGGGTGCGTATCTTCGCTGCAATAAGATAGTGGTCCGAGTCGATGTTTGGCCCTCGGAGTGTACGTACGTCTAAAACACTGGAAGCGTGCCTTCCGTCTATCGCAACATGTTCGATTTCGCTTCTCGTTTTTCAATCTGGAGACAGCCATGTAGCTTGATGGATCTTTTTATGCTGGAAAATAGTACTGTATAATACGATGTTTCAGGCCCCGGCGAAGTCGTTCAGCCTCAGTCCGTTATCGGACGTTTCGTCGTGGAGGCTGAATTTTTCGAAACATGCCTTCTTTGTGCACCTTGTTATTGAAGTCGCCAAGCACGTTTTTGATATCATTGCAGGGCCAGCGCTCGTATGTCCAGCTTTGATGCGGATTGTGGCTAGACGCTCGTCCTCCGGGGTGAACGACAGTACTTGGCGACGGAGTGTCTCTCCCACCACAAAACCAACACAGAATTTGCGCTCCTTTACATGGCAGCTTTATTAGACGTCGCCTTTCTTGCCTTTCCCCGCCCAACGCATTTCCGGATGGCGGTGATGTCAGCCTTTGTCTTTATGAGGACATAAACCAGCCGAGCAGAGGCACCTTCCCCATTAAGGTTGGGGACATTCCAAGTTCATGCCCCCAAATCGTAGTCCTTTAAATGTTTGCCGTGGTAGTCATCAAAAAGGAGGGAGGAGGTATGGGTCTCATCCAAGGC